ATATCTGAACAATCAGTTGTATGGGAGCTATATGTTAAAGTGGTCCGATTCTTCCGGTTCCGACAAATGATTAATACATTATAAAAATACACCCACCTACCAAATTTGATCCGGATATCTCTAAAACTGAGAGACTAGATTGCATACAAACAGACAGACAGACGGACAGACGGACAGACGGACAGACGGACATGGACAAATCAGCTCAGCTCGACGATCTGATCATATAAGTATACATTTTAATGGGTCTATCTCTTCTTATTCTGGTACTTACAAACATCGGACCAAAGTTATAATACCATTTCATGCTCATGAAAGGTATAATTAAAATAATTTGAATAATAAAATGAATCTTTGTGTTGTCTGTTCACCTTTTGAGTTCTTATACGTAGTATATGGCCGTGACTAATTTAGTATTAGATTAAAACCTTATGTTTGACACGGTGATGTTAGCCGCTATGTAAAACTTGGTTTGCTCATCTCAGGTGGTTGTGGAACTCCATCCATCTTGAAAACAAGGGAAGTCAACGTAAGTTTTCGCTGGAGATGAAATAAGGCCTAACCCAAACTATCGATGTGGATTAAAGTTACCAAAAATTCAGATATAATGTATAATATTTTGTGTATAAATCGACTACTTCAACCTCTTGTCTTTTGCGATAGCAAATTCTTTTTAACGGTTACCCCTACTCTATGATTTAAACGCCCTCAGCTGTTCACGAAGATACGAAGCTAAAATCGATACCCGATAGTTTTTCAGTGCTGGCCGCCCAAAATTACAAGTCAAGATACAGCACTCATAGCATCGTGAAAGATGAGCAGCATGGTTGAAAGCTCCTCCAGGCAAATGCGGCAGTAAGAATCAAAAGGTATTTTTATCAGGGACGTGAACCGGATGAACATTTTGTTTGGTTCGGTTCAGCGCTTCGAACCGTTTTTGCACTTTTGGATTGGTTCGTCAAAGCGGTTCGGTTCAACGGTTCGAAAAACAAAAGAATTACGCGCAAGTTTAAGTGTCAAGTGTCAAGTGCAACAACGCGCAAGTTTAAGTGTCAAGTGTCAAATGAGATGGGTTGCCTTTACATTTGATATTGTCACATGGTAAACAAACATGATGGGTATTACCATGTTTACCAAAAAGAAAAAAAATTGGGTACATTTATCTATTAAAAATTGGTTGAAACGAACCTTTCAATCTTAATAGAAAGTGGTTCGGTTTTCGGTTCGGATCAAACATTTGTGGAAAATTTCTGTTCGGTTAATGGTTAGGTTAGTTAATAGAAAAGAGCGGTTTTCCGGTTCAAAACCGGCTCGGTTCAAAAGCGGTTCACGTCCCTGAATTTTATTGTCACCGCGTGAATCCCGAATGTCCGGACCCCGCCAAAACCAAAAGATACTAACATGAGCACCCTATGTAGCCGCCTATGACGCACCCGGGGTCCAGAAGTACCTTGAAATTGCAATTTTTCCAGGCTTTGCCCAAAGTCCGCTGAGCTGAAAAAGGGCCGTATGCTAAGGAGTAAACCCTAGATGTTCGTTGCTACTCCGACTCGCTCTCTGCTCGGTGATGTCGTTTCTTTAGCCATGTTGTTTACCACAATATGTCCATGGCCTGGCACCCTTATATTGTCATTTAATGTCTTATGGCACTTCTATGGCACTTATAGAGCTGGAAAACTATCGATGGCACTATCGATAGTTTTTGACTATCGAAAACATCGATGGTTTTGTAACACTATCGATAGTTTTTACTCATACATAATCAGTAACGGCGCATTTACATTAGACAATGCGGTAAAGGCAATAAAAATGTACGTATTAGTTGTCAAAAACGCTAATCATTGTCTCCGTTATGTAGGCGTCCTGACAATAGTTATGACAATTAATTTTGAGCAAAACATCGGGCGTGAACGTTGTATTATAATACGCATTTCGCGCGAGCTATTTAAGCTAAAAACTAAAGAATAATAAAGAATAGCCAAAGTTACAAACACATCAGCGTCTCTAGTGTAATTTTAGATCTTTTGTTATGAACTTCTCTTCTTTCTTGCACCAGACGTCAAAATTATTGTCTGATTTACTGTCTTGAAAATAATCAGGACAGTGATTGATACAATTGGAAAAGTATGCTTGTATTAGTGAAAAAGGGTGCATGTATTGCTACTGGTCCGGTGTAAGCCCTAAGTAGGAGTAAAAGCCGGCGGTACCTGCTTCATCTTGCAAATCGGAAGGGACATTTAGCAAAGCAGGGCAAATAATTTCCGAGCGCAGATGCTGCTTGAAACCAAAAATCGTTGATAAACTTTTGTTCCTTAACAAAAATATGTGAATATTTTAGCAATTCTGACCTCTTTTTCAGTAAAAGTTTTTTATGTTTTATTTTTGGAATTTTTCAATCAAAACTATAGATAGCCACGACCATCGATGGTTTTCCAGCTCTACTTTCTTCCCAACGATTATTCTAAAATATTATAGACATTCGTAGATACATATGTATGTACATTAGAGTAGACATAGCATTGTGAATTCAAAAGTATTCGCATGAGGTTGGACGGTTGTCGAACTCCACGATTTAAACATTTCGCTTCTGACCCCACCATTTCAGATTGCTCGCTAAAAAACAAGAAACTTCTTGCATGCATAAAAATCATATTTTTCCAGTTTTTCGAAAAGCGATTGAAGAGAAGTACTTCTGATTCGGATTTGTTTTCGAAGTTTAGCTGGGCAACAATTTCAACCAAGTTATAAATTTTCTATTTTCCTTGGTAATTTTCAATTGGCTCATCCATCTTTTCGTCAAGAGGCTCTTTTAGTTATGAAATACCCAACACTTGTTTTACGTTTTCTGCAATTACAACAAAGGCGAGTCATTCAACTTTAGTCTTGTCCTGCATTTGTGGAATATATGTTGAAGCTATTCACTTACACTAGAGCTTGACTGTCGCCGTTTTGAGTAAATTTCACTTAAATATGATTCTTGGAAAGGAAATTATATTTTTTGTCTAATTGCGCCAAAATATAAAACTTAGAAAACTATGGTAGATTTTGTAATTTTTCTTGGCTCAAAGTTTGTAAGCCGTACCCGAAACCACTGGAAATCAGCGGATCTTATTCAAAAATATTTCATGCTTATTTTCATTTCCAACCTCACATTCCGTGCGTATAATTATAGTTTTCGAAAATCACACTATCATGGCCACCCTAATGAAAGTATGATACAAAGCACATATCGTCGCTTAAAATTCAAAACCGCGTTTCAAGAAAATGAAAAACCTCATATTCCAGCTTGTTCAAGTTATATAGGAGAGAGCAGAGCCGGCCGCAGGATTTCTCATTCGTAACAACCAAGAATGGCATTGTTTTATTTAAAGTATTCAGCATAATGTATTTCATTTTGGATATAATTTAGCAAACTTTCTACAAAGTAATACTCCCCCTAGAAATGTTCCTTTTGTCATAAAAATGTTCCCTGCCTGGCCTTAAAGTTCAGCATTTTCATGCAACTTTCACAAAAACTACCTATAAGTCAGTAAGAAATTTAATATATTTTAATGCCACTTCATGTAGTTTCAAATATGGCCAACCTATTTTTAAACCTCCCCAACTTTTAAAGTTATTGAGGTTTTTTCCATGTAAAATTACAATTTTCTAGGAATTCAGCCGTTAAATTTCATTTCAGCCAAGTAAATTTAGACCAAATTGGTACGATGAAAAAAAATTGTAGTAGCAAACTTTTAATGCAGTTTACTTTTATTTGACACGTAGATCATGAAACCACAGTCTCGCCTCTAAATTTCATACCGGAACATTGTCCAAGCATATTTTGAATTTTTCGTAAAAACCAGTTCTATACAAAATTTGTAGAGAAATTAGTTTCCCACATTTTTTGTACGCAAACTTAAAAACAAAAATAATTTTTTATTGTAAATAATTAGCAAAAAGAGCGAAAAATGTTTGCATTGTCACGGTTTTCAACAATTTCTGATAAAAACGCGTAGCATATTCAAATGCCAAAGTTGTAGGGAACTTTTCTCTTTTAGTGTTGGGTTTACAACTGGGTGGCACAAACTTTGTAAAGAAAAATCTAATTTACCATGAAATGGATTTAAGAAGACACATGCCTCAGAAATCAAATTAAATTTAATTCATCAGTTTACTAGAATATGTATCACGATTTTATAAGAAGGTTTTTTAAGAAGGTTTTAGCTTGAAAATATATTTTGAAGAAGGTTTCACGCTGTTTGAAAAGTTTAATTTAACTAACTTATATACAATTTATATGGAATATTAAAATACGGGTGTCTAACGAAAGAGTGGTAAGAAATATTTAGTGTGAACATTTAAAATGATTGAAGAGGGTTGCCACCTGTTTAAAAAGTTGCACTCAAATTAGATGAATTACTAAAAGATGGACATCAATCGAAATGGGATTTAAAATGCTTTATTTCTAACCTTTATTTAGGAGGGTTGCCTAATTTAATTGAAATATTTATCGCGGTGTTATACGAAAGAGATGTAAGAACGTTTTTGTTTTAAAGTACTTTTAAAAGGATTTCTACCTGTATGAAAAGTCGACTTTTGTTAACTTGTACCCAAGATTTACGAAATATTAAAATATGAGTGTCAAGGACATTATTCTTTGCACCGTTCTTTCGAATTTGAAGTAAATACCTCGGCCTGGAGATGTGCGATAAGATTTTAGTTTTTGAAGTAAGAACTTTTTTATCGGTACAGGGTGATTAAAATTGTATGACATTAAGAACCCATACAATGCGAGACCTCTCCTCAATGAAACGGCTGCATGGATTTAGATGAAATATAGCACTCGGATTGCTTATGACTCTGACTAACATTTGGAATAGTTTCTATAGCTTGGAATCAAACTTTAAGGGTTTAACGCCATGCGGGTTCACTAGTTATACATAATATGATCATCATTTTTCTCTTCTTCAAATTAAGATTTCTCTATATTTATTATTTAACCTGATTTATTTACTTACGATTGTAATTTATTGCACTGTGTTCAGTCTGGTGCGCCATCCACGAGTTGTGTCTACAGCCGGTGTTCAACCTTCACACTGAACAAATTTTAGCAATACCGCCACACAACTTCATGACTAGTTATTTTATGATGTTATAGTGATCAGGCAATAACAGCAAAATTTCTTCAATTAAAAGTCTTATACAAATTATATGTACATACATATGTATAAGTATTTACTTAAATGCGTCATTCATTTATTTCACCAATTAATTTATTATTTATCATTACTGTTTTACAATATCTACGGATCGAAAAAAGCATTCTTAACAACTATAATTAATTTAATGAATTTTCGTCACTTAAACTGTGACGAGCCGGCACTTCCAGCACTGTTAGTTTAACTAAAAGAAACATTCGATCACATATATGTATGTATTATTTTAGTTAGCAGAGCCGGACGGACCCAGCACACGTTCAACCGGCGGTGAACACACTTAGCGACTGAGGCGGACGTCCATTCGGCCAACCAGCGACGTCTTGGGGAGATGTCGTGCATCGCTGAAATACCATGCCCAAGCGGCATTGCCCACACCTCGCGCCTCCTGAAACCACCCACTAGGTATGCCACTTGAGAGCACTTTCGCAAAAACAGCAGATTCTAAGGCAACATCGGTTGCTCGTATTGGCATCGAGGGGCGAGCTGCAGCAACTGAAACATGGAACGCCAAACGCGAGACAGAAATTAAAAGCGTTTAGCGCTGATCATCTGTCTACAATAGAGTGTATGTGCGCTGCGTGCCCACGGTTGCCACACACTTAGACAAAATGTTACCCATATTTTTTAAAAAGATTACCAGAAAGTTACCAAAATTATTAAAAGCTATTTTTCTTTTGTAATAAACAATGGAAATTACATTTACACTTTCAAGCTTATATGAAAGTTGCCACGCAACTCTTTTATTTATATAGCGATTATCTTTGTTAGTGGCTTGACTTCATCACAAAAGAATTTACAAAAACTGTTTTAGTTTTATAATTTTTTCCCCATTAACGGGTCTTACGCTGTGGAAGTTAAATGTGAAAAACCAGTCCAAAACTGTTCAAAATTACTTTAAAAAACATCCACCTTTTTACAAGCGAAAACAAAATTTTTATTTTCAGTAGAGTTTCTAAAGTAGAACCACTTTTTAGCTGAATAAAGATAAATTGCAAATATCTTGGAAACTTGTCCAAAGAACAAAAAAATTACCAAGCTTTCGGAATCAGAGGGTGGCAGAACAAAAATTAAAATTATTGATCCAGTGAAGTTATTGATTTATAGATTTTCACACCTTGGGACCATTTCCTTGTATTTTTATTAGATTAAATTTAAATATACTTCATGACCAATATTTTTTTTTTAATCAATTTTAAATAAACTTTGAATCAATAACCTCAACGTTTTAAACAAACTACTATGTAGTCCGAAAATAAATCTCTTTTGAGGCAAGCTTCATTATTCCACAGGTTAATAATAAAATCTCGTCTTATATTTCACTGCATGTCGTTCAGACAATGTTTGATGAAAGAACTCAAATAACAATCTTCTAAATTTGAAAGACCGCAGCCTTCACCATGACCCTAGCTCCTCATGGCAGATGTGTATGTAGATTTGTGCATATCGCCAATCATAAATCTATCATCAAAAACAAATTCATTCAGTAAGAAATTAGCTGTGTGTACGAAACTCTGCTGCAGATATTCAAAAATATTTAATGTTTTTAAGCATTTTGTCTGAAAGTTACCAAACGATATCGGAAGCTACCAAATTACCAAAGAGAATAAAAGTTACCAATTTTGGTCACATTTTACCAAAGTGGCAACCGTGTGCGTGTCCGCTTCGAGTATGTGTATGTATTTCCACCTTTGCAATTAGATATATTCAATTCTACGCTGTAGGAAAACACATCAAAATAAACTGATATTCTTCCAGCTAGTTTAGAACTATGAATACTTAGTTAAAATTTCTATTTTATTCTTAAATACACAATTAACGGCCAGTTTTTCATTGCTGGTTAAAACTCAGTTTAAACAAAGTTTAGTTAAACTCGGCTTAAATTTAACTACTGACTGATAACACAGAACTGCAGCCATGGGCGTAGCCAGGTAGGGGCAGGGGGTACTCGAGCCCCCCCTAACTTTAAAATTTTCCTTATATATATATAAAATAGTAACCTGAAATGCCAGCTTAATAGGGTCGAGCCCCCCCCCCCCTTAATTTCATTCTGGCTACGCCGATGACTGCAGCTATTTGTTTTCACTTTTGAATCATCGTGTGTGTAAAAATTGTTCATTTAGAGGTACTGTCACGCCCACCTCTCATATATCGGCAATTTTCCAAAATGAAAATGCTGAGATTTAACTAACTACAAAAACTAAACTGCCCAAAATTCATATTATGAATCGCCTTATAGCTAGGTGTTATATGATTATAAAGTTTTTGAGAAATGGGCGTGGTCGCGCCTATTTATGGTGGAACTAAACCTTACAGGATTCTTCGTGTTGGCCCAGATTTCGCACAGAACTTAATTTCATTCTATGTACATAATTTCATTATTACTTGCTCTAATTAAAAAAAAATTCAGTACCATTGGAAATGTCTTCAAAGGCGAAAAAGCAAAAGTTTAACTCGGTAGAGATCAAGTTCAAATAAATTACTTCAGGAAACCAAAACTTTCAGTAGGTCTGGAAAAATAAAGCCAGCACTTTCCAGCAGCTAAAATTCTGTTATTTAAAAGCTAAGAGGAGTGGCAAATAAACTGAGACGCAAAGTTTATCGGATAACCGTGGTAAACACACTGTGAGTTGAGGGGATGTATTCAACCGACCATATTCTGCATAAAAATTGCTGCGAGTTGCATCGTCAACTTCTAGCTCAGCTGACCAACCGTCAGGCCCAGCAGCGTAATTTCTATTCGTAGCTCATCATCATCAGGCAGAAGGCCACCGATTCCACCCAGCAAAAAATCGGTAATCGCTTTTAGTGGTAACGTGTTCTAGAAGGCATAGCGTTGTAATGCCTTCGAATATTTTCGCTTCTTTTAGGCATTGTCGGTAATGCAAAGTAGAATGTCCTACAATATTTTATTTACTTCGCTTCTTTGTTTCATTATGAGGAATGCAAAGTAGAATGTCCTACAAACACACCCCTTTTCACATTCGAAAATGCATTTTTTCCCCAGGGCGATGTCCTAAGAAAAGTGGGGCATTCAATTTTGCATTACCTAGTATCGAGAAATGAATGTGATTTAAAATGAAATTTTTGGGACTATTTGAATACATTAGAGTGCTGATTACATATTAAACAGTAATTGGATGTAAAACTCAAAAGAAATACATTCGATTATTTATCACGCATGGAATGCATTACTACTTTTCCCACTGTGCGGGTATATGAGCATGAGTGGCTATTTTTACTTTTTTCAGGGACGTTGACCGGTTTTGAACCGGAAAACCGCTGTTTTCTATTAATTAACTGAACCTTTAACCGAACCGTAATTTTCCACAAATGTTCGATCCGAACCGAAAACTGAACCTCTTTTCATTAAGATTCGTTTCAACCAATTTTCAACAGATAGATAAATTTACCCACTTCTTTTTTATCGTTAAATATGGTAACACATACCATGTGTGTTTACCATGTGGCAATATCAAATGTAAAGGCAACTCATCTCAGTTGACAGACACTTGACACTTAACCTTGCGCATTTCTTGCACTTGACAGTTTGAACCGAACCAAACCCCCGGTTCAAAGACAAAAAATAAACGCCTTTTCGAACCAATCCAAAAGTGCAAAACGGTTCGAACCAGAGAACCGAACCGACCAAATTTTTCAACTTGCTTATAATATCCAAAAACTTGTATAGGGCAGCTAAATTTTAATTGAAAAATATGGGTATATGCAGATAAATGCGCTATTAATCGGCCCATAGCTTTATGCTGAATTTTTGTTACCAAATAAAAATACTGATAATTCTCTTTTACACTGGAGTACAATTCATAAAGTTTAAAATTAAATATAAGTATATTTCCTATTTTGAATTTGTATTCCGATTGGAGGCCACTGTGGCGTAGTGGTTAGCAGTGCGCCCTACCATTCCGCACGGCCTGGGTTCGAGTCCAGTTTCCGACCAACATCAACAAAAAAAAAGCAACCACTATTATCCAAAAGCAAATTGCAAAAAGCAATGAGGTTATCAAGGACCTCATTTCAGGTTCCGAATAAGAAGACGAAATCAGGTTCAAAAGAAAATAAATAAGAATGAGTTTTAGTCTTACCAAATGAGCAATGATCAAGCAATTTGTATTGCGGTCAAACATCAAATATTTGTTCATGATTATTTATTCTCGGTGTCTCGAATGCTGTTCATACGTGTTGCAGCGCACGCGCACCAGTGTTTGATTTTTTTCTGATAAGCCATTGCATGGAGGTCATGTGTCAATGCTCTATATGGAACAATAGAAAGCAAAAAAACAAAACCTAAAATCCACTCACTCACCTTTGCCAGCGATTTGGCGATTAATCGATAACTCGAAGAATGATTATAAAAATCAAATCAAATTCGGTAGGTTAGATATTTTGGATCACCAATATATCTATTTAACCTACCTATCGCACGTTTAACAATATACGGAATTATTTAAAGAATTTAATTTTAATTGTATTATGAAATCTCGAAAAACGAAAATTTTGATTTACATCTACATATATATTTTAAACATACGATATATATATTAAAGAAAAATTATAATCTCTTTCGAATAACAAATCGAATCGTTACTGGTCATTTAAGGCAATTTCCAATATTTGAAGAATTGTGACAGAATTCACATAAGATTACATCACCACGGCGAACAAAGGCAATTTCGCAAGGATTTATTTTGAAATTGATACAGATTTTGAGCATCTAGAGTTGGAAACTTGTTGAGACTCGTCAGAAGTGTTTGCGTTCGAATTATCCTTGGGAAATTCGAGCAGTTATCACCAATTTCAGTGTCGAATTCGTCTTATACTTTGTTCTCTAATAAAGTTTTCTTGATTGTCTTCTCTAAAGCCATTTTGGATAACAATGGTTCCATATTTATAAGTTCCTGCAATAATAACTTATAGGCCTTATCGATAACAGAATCCCGATGAGTAGATATCTCATTCATAGATAGGGATGAAACTATACTGTGCAGGTATCGATACCTTTCCTTGAAAGTAGTATCGTAAGAAAGTATCGATACCCGAAAAATAAAAAATCTAAAATATTGTTACGTACTCGTATCGGTACTTTGGCTATGAAGGTATTCCGTATCAGCTGGATTAAATTAACTTTTTAAGTAATAAATTAGTCATCGTCGGCGACTTCTAAACTCCGAATAATAGAAGTTTATAAGTGGACAAAATTCCAGGTGTATATATTTTATAGTAAAAATTAACGGACTTTATATAGTGAGCTACTAGAAAGCTTAAATTTCAATACGAAATTTCTGGCCTGGGCTACGTTCTCCTTGCTTCTTTTTTAAATAATTGAGCTAGTCTGCACCAGCTTTAATATTGTCCGATAATGTTTTCAGCGCAAAGAATTATAGAGTTACTCTGATACACCGCACATTGTTCTAAATATTTTTGAAAAAAAAATCGACAAAATCAATCGAGAAGAGATAGTGAAATAACTGTAAC